GAGGAAGCAGAGACAGGACACGTGCCCCAAACTGACTAAAGAGGTATTCCATAGCACAGCACGTCATGCCCAGGATGTAACTGAGAGTTACCTGGAAGGGCTAGGGCTGTGGTCTTGGATGAGGTATTGATCAGTGTTTGGTCAGGCTGGGGGGTGAGTTATCGGTTGGCAGGTAGTGTGGTGTTATATTCTCTTCCCTTGTTATTTCCTTTATCATTATTATTATTGGTGGTAGCAGTAGTGATTTGTGTTATACCTTAATTACTGGACTGTTCTTATCTCAACCCATGGGAGTTGCATTCTTTTTGATTCCCCTCTCTGTCCCTCCGGGAGCAGGGGGAGGGCGGGGGGGGGGGGGGGGGGGAGTGAGTGAGTGAGCGGTCTGGCTGGGTTTAAACCACAACACTAGTATGTGGGATTTGAGAGGCTATGGGAGAACAAAAGGTAATGGAGAAGAGAGTAAAGGCAAGTGTCTGGGTTTCAGTAGGTAAGGACTGGGATCCTGTTGGAGGACTATGCATGCAACTCAGCAGGGAATTCCAGGGGTCTTAAATTTAGCTCTGTAAATTAGACTGGTTTTGAGGTTTATTTGTAGGGTTGTGTTCAAGGGGATGGATAATTTCTGCATATTTGAGTGCTGGGTTGTGAACACATATATGCATGCCTCTACAGTTAACCTTGAGCATTGTATTACTTCTGAAAAAAACAGTGAGTTTTTTTGTGGGAGAGGACAAGTTGATTATGCAAGTCAGATGGATTTGGGCTAGATTCTGCAACTTTCTGTGTTACAGCCTGTAGTTTATTGGCTTTGGGGAGTGGAGTCCTTAGTTCAGTATTTGCAGAAGTAAAAAGGAAACATACTGCTCTGCATTAGTGATAAAGGCAGTGCCTGAGAAAGGCTAGACCTACCTGTTTATGCATTGTGCATTTTTAGAGGATACTTTCTCCTGGTTTTCTTACTCCAGCTCTGGTAATCTAAAATGCTTTTCTGCTTTATGACAGCTGCTAACAATCTTTTGAAGAATTCAGGTGGCTGTAGTACCTTTTTGAAACGATAGAGGTTTGTGTGTATATAAGAATCTTTGAGCTGAGAAGTGAGTAACTCACCTGCTCCCATATCTTGGTTATTTAGTCACTGGTGTGTTGCATCTGTAAGACTAGTAAGTTTTGCAGAAATATGCCTTGTCAGCAAGTATTGGGTGTGTTTTGAAGAGGCCTACTAAACCGAGCTTCTGAAAGAAGATAGACCAGTACCCACTTCTGTGGTTGTGCTATCCTTTAAGGACTTGAGAAGAGGATATTATGTGTCTTGGGAACTAGATTGCCTAAAGGGTTTTTTTGTAAATTGGTCTCTGCTTTCACATGATGAAATGGCTCATTTTAGACATGCAGGTAAATTAATGTGTGACCCCTTCTCTTATTTTGAGATATTTTGTATCTAGGTAGAAGTTAATTTCTCCTGTAAACCAAATGTGACAGACCAACTTTTAGTAAATGGTGAAAGCTTTCACTATATTGATCTAATATATCTTTCCTAGGGCAGAAGAATAACTACATGATGTATCTTAAGAACAGTTTAATACAAGATGGAACAAAAAAATATACTGCATTGCAACCAGCTTTAAAGATTTTGCATGTTGTGAACATCAGTTTTAAAAAAGTAAAACGTTTGCTTTCAGAGAATTTGACTCTCAGGAGCAGACATCTGTTTTTGAACAATACTGGTCTTTTAGTGAACAAACTAAAATTAAGAATTAAGCAGTTATGTTGCATTTTTACCTTTTTTGTTTCAACCACTTGTACTGCTAGCTTCCTCTGTTGCTATGCCAATTTACTAATCTAAGTGTTGGATTCTGCTCTAAGTTTGGATGTGGCTGCTTATTGTCAGCTCCCCTTGGCAGTCTGCTAACCAGCCATGTTATAATCAGTGAAAATTTAAGAATTTCACAGCTTGTTTGAACAAAACCGACATGCTGATTTACTTAAAAGGATATTAACTGGCTGACTAATTAAGAATATTGTTAGTCCCCTGTTTCTTGCATTAATTGCACAGACTTTTTTGGCAAAGATGGTAGTTTTCAACTTTCAAATGATTGCAGCAGTAGTATAGTTAATAACAAATTGACAGCTTTAGGTTCTGTTATTTAATATGGATGGGGAGGTTTGGACAAATACCTGAAAATACTTTAATAGATGATATGTAATCAGACTACATAGATAAATGAGAAAAAGGCCTCTGATACCTGCTAATTTTCTTCTGCAAATGTTCAACTGAGTTGCATCCCAGATCTGTAGAAATAAGCAGTATCACCATATTGCATTCAGTTAGGGGCATGTTTGGACTTATACAGTGTTCATGGAACTGGGCTATGGTTTGAGAGTTTTCATGTGTGAGAAGAGTGAAAAGAAGACATGACTAGGATCTCATTTTTAAGGGAGATTTAGAGCCATAGATATAATGTGGTGAATAATAGCACAACATTTTTGTAGCAAATGGCTCCTTAGGATTGGCTAAAGATAATAAAAAGTGAAACTGACAGCATTAGATAAAAGACTCCTTGTATTATAATTTGTTTAAATGTTGCAATTTTAAGCAATTGAATTATAAATATTTTCCTTTTATTTTTAAGCACTACAAGTATTGTTGTTTTTGCTGTCAGTTCACCTGGGAATGAAATTGATACTTTAGACTCTTGTGGTAGGTGTTTTATTGTGAGTGTAGTTTTGCTTGGTTTACTCTGACTGTATCTTTTTTTTTTTTTTCTGTGTCAGGCTGGAAGAGAACGTGATTATATCATATTTCTTTTCTAGGAACTTACATTTTTTTCTTAGGCTCTGAAACTTTCACCATCATTATACCACTAATATTTCTGTGTTGGTTGGTTGGTTTGGTTTGGTTTGGTTTGGTTTTTTTCCTGGGTGTGTGTGTTCGTGTTTTGTGTAGTAGGTTGGTGTTGTGGGTGTTAGTTGTTGTTGGGGTATTTTTTTGTTTTTTTGGGGTTGTTGGGTTGTTGGTTTTTTTTTTTTCTTTTGCTTGTTTGGGTTTTTATTTGCTTTGGGTGTGGGCTTTTTTTCTGTTTGTTTGGTTGGGTTTTGTTTGTTTGTGGGTTTGGATTTTTTGGTTTATTTTTTTTCTCTTTTTACTCCTGTGGGGAAGATGAGGCAGCAAGTATTTGTTTTTTTTCCACAGAAATTTGACTGAAGCACAGAATTGTTAGGAAATATTTTCAGAATTGCCATATTGGCAATTGTAGACCAAAATCTTACAGGATACTATGTGTCTGAACCTCTTAAGACTAGCTCCTACAAGAAGTTCTAGCTTACAGTAGGTAGCTTTCTTCTGTTTGCTTCATAGTTAAAGCTGCTAAGGGATCATATGATTTCTGTGAGTGCAGACCCAAGAAAATACTCTTTTTTTTTTTTTTTCCCCTTGCATTTTATTTTTGTGAGTTATGCTAGGTTAGACTATTAACAGAGTTACTTTCCTGTATATCAGTCCTAACAAACTGACAGCTTCAACAGTGAGGCTAGTTTAAAAAAAAACAAACCACCAACCAAGAACAAAAAAAACGTACTTGGACTCTTTGATAGTTGGTACATGTGTGTAGTTGTATCTTCTAGGCAGTCCACATAGTGGCTATTCTGCTTGAAGCTGCATAAAATAGCTGCCAATAAATATTTTCTTTGCATATACATATTCTCTTTTAAAGGGTAGTGAAGAGATCAATTTCATAGAAAAAAGCTTTCTTTTCTGAAGTTCAGAAAACTGTGCTAGTGGTTGCAGATTTCTTTTTCATGGACTTCAATGCCTCCTTTGTCAATTTGACACCTTGAATGGCTACATTGTTAATTCCATATCTTGTAAAGATTAAAAGTGACTTAGAGGGACACAAAAAGCCACTGAGCATCTGCAGTACTGAACTTCTAAAAGCATTTGTACAAACAACAGCCTTTGGATATGAACCCTTCTGTTAAATTATTAATAGTGAGTCTTTCTGGGGCCCTGGTTTTGATTTTGATGCGTAGTAAACCAAAACAAACAACAGTAATGCCCCAGAAAGTGAATGTATATGGATTTTTCACTGTATTTCCAATTTTAAATAAGGTGCAGATAACTTGAGAACGAAACTCCACATCTTAACATCCCTGGAAGTGTTCATGGTCAGGTTGGACATGGCTTTGAGCAAACTTGTCTAATGGAAGGTGCCCACTGCCCACGGCATGGAACTAGATGAGCTTTGAGCTCCTTTCCAAATGAAACTATTCTATGGTAATAGCTGATTCTACTGCTATAGTAAAATCTCTCTTCATCTCAATATTGGCAGCTTTCCACCAGTGTTTTTCAAGTTTTCTTGTACGCTTATCCCATGTTTTCTTGGCAAAAGCATTAATATCTGTTAATACAGAATGCTGCTATAATAGCAACCATATGTGGACAGTTGCCTTGTATGGCCATGCCTGCACATGAAGTGTGAAGAATAAAGCCTTTTTTCTGAGACTTAGGACTCTTCTTTTGGAAGATGTGATTTGATTAATTGTACTCTTTCCATCACAGAGGTAAGCCAGCTAGGGCTACCTCAGTTTTGTTGCATTGCCTGAAGGCTTTTCTACTATAATGCTTACAAACATTTTGTAAGCTGACAGATGTGCTGTGTCGCAGCTATGTGCAGAAGTGCATTACATTTGAAAAAAAAAAACCCAAAACCAAACAGTCAAGTGACATCTGGGCTTATTTAAAAAAAAAAAATCAAAAAAAAAAAATCAACATGTTAAGATGGGGGCAAAACTGCTGGTTTTCGGTGTTTAGGGTAAATGAAAAGTATGTATTTTCACAACATATGTGCTGAGAGCACTCCAGGTTCTTAGTAATTTTATTGTTAGTGAAGTTCAAGACCTTACAGGAATAGGAAATTTTTGCTAAAAAAGAATATATCAAAGTGTTGGAGAAGAGGGAAATTATCAAGTCATAATGTTGTCTCAGAAGTCTGTCTTTTTCTTTCCTCCATAATCTTACGCAGTAATGGATAAAGAAGGTAGCAAGCCTGCCTGGCCCAAGTCATCAAGAAGACATCGGACTATTACAGGTAGAAGATATGGAAGAAGGTACGCCTATGTTTGTTTTACACCATCTTCGAATAGCCAAGTCAGAGATGAACATCAACACAACGAAGACTGCAAAGGATTAGAGCTAGAGGATGCTCGGAAAGCGAATTCTTTATGTACGTGGGTATCTTTGTGTATGTCCATTTAATTGCAAACTGTGATACTTGGGAGTGGAGGGAAAAGACACATGGAGGAAATGTGAAGGGAAGATGATAACCACTTAACATGTGTAAAGTACAACTCATCTGGCTTTATAGAACGAAACTTACCATGAAGGCAAATTAAAGTATATCTATCTTAGGCTGTTAATTTTGCCTTAGGAAGGACATTCTTGAGAGAGTTAATTCTTTCTAACCAACCTGATAACTAAAATATTGTATAATTCAAGTTATTTTTGTCTTCAGATCAAACAACAAATCACACTTATGAGAGAATGCTTAATCTAACCTGTTTGGAACCAGGCTATGAAATATTTGACATATGGATCATGTTGTTCTCTCTTGGTCAACTGTCATATAGTTAGTGGGAATTAGTTAAAGCTTAAAAACACGTCTATTCGTTTATACCTGTCAGAGCAGTTCCTTTATTTAATGAATATGGAATGTTAGTGTTTCCCAAAATGTCTTTTGTGTTTTCAGAGTTCAAATAATAATTTCATAGAGAAATACAGAATGGCTTATTGAATTAGACTTAGTCTCATCTCTGTCAGTGTATGGGGTTTTCTGCTAAAAAAAGCCACCCAAGAACCAACCAACCAAACACCCACCCCCCCCCCCCCCAATAACAGCCAAATAACAACAGCAACAAAAAAATCCAAACAAACCAAACCAACCAAAGAGCAAATAACCCTTTTTTTTTCATATAGTTTTAGATGTCCTGAAGCTGCAAGTCCTGCACTTGGGTCACAACAACCCCATGCAATGCTACAGGCTTGGGGCTGCTACAACCTTTTCCTGGTGGAAAAGGACCTTGGGGTGTTGTTCAGCAGCCACCTGACTATGAGCTGGCAGTGCACATCAGCATCCTGGCCTGTATCAGCAATAGTGTGGACAACAGAACCAGGGCACTGATTGCTCCCCTGTACTGTTCACTGGTGAGGCTGCACCTTTAATCCTATGTTCAGTTCTGGGCCCCTCACTACAAGAGAGATGTTGAGGTGCTGGAGTGGGTCCAGTGAAAAGCAACAAAGCTGCTGAGGGGTCTAGAAAGTCCTGTGAGGACTGACTGAGGGGACTGGTTTAGTTTGGAGGAAAAGAGGCAGAGAGGAGACCTTATTGCTCTCTACAACTGCCTAAGAGGAGGTTGTAGTGAGGTGGGTGTCAGTCTCATCTCTTGAGTAGCAAGAGGAAATTACCTCAATCTGCCCCAGAGGAGGTTTAGATTGGATATTAGGAAAAATTTCTTCACAGACAGGGTTGTCAGGCACTGGAACAGGCTGCCCAGGGAAGTGGTTGAGTCACCATCCCTGGAGGTATTTAAATACATGTTGATGTGCACCTTGGAACACAATTTAGTGATGGATATAGCAGTGCTAGCTCAACAGCTGGACTTGATCTTCAGCGTCTTGTCCAACCTAAATGATTTCATGATTCTATACAGTAGCATTTTTGTCATCCTTCCTTTACAGACTTTATAAACATTTTGTAACTGCTTTCTCCTTCTAATTTTCAAGACTTTTTGTTATTTTAGGTTTGTTAGTTGTTTGTTTGGGTTTTCTTAATAATTGCATAGTACTAATGTAACTCTATCATGGCATTGATCTTTGAGACTGTTATGTGGTGTAGATAATATTGGCATGGTGGTGAGTTTTTTTTGTAATTTTAACGTTATTGCAGTTGTTTGTTTCATACCCTTTCTACGCTTTCATCTAGTTAAGATTTATTTCCTCTACAGCAGTGTTGACACTTGTGGAGATCTTCCGTTTCTCTATAATGCTACCACTTTTCTTGTTTCTGTTACTTAGAAATGAGCATGTTATTATTTTAGGGGTCACAAGAAATATGCATTTTTAAAGTGTGTTATCTCCTTGTTCTTAATACAATTGCTTTGTATATGAACTCTTGAATGACTGATTTTCTACATTAAGTCTAATAATAAATTGCCTTTCCTTTTATATTTTGTCCTTTTTTCATGTTATGGCTTTTCACATTTATCTTTGAGAAATATTTTGGATTTACTTCCCTTACCTCAGCTAGGTTGCATTTTCCCCAGTGAGTAATTATTTTTTGATGGGTGGGTACTAGCTAAAAACATGCTGTGTACTTCCTTGCTAGTTGGCATAACATCTTACATGCATCTAAGGAATTATGGAAGATGGGTAGAAGGAGACATCCTTGGAAATATTAAAAATCTGTCTGGATTTGGTCCTTGGTAACCTGCTACAGGTGACCCTGCTTGAGCAAAAGGGGTGGACTGGATTTCTTCAGAGGTGCTTGCCCACTAAGCTCAGCTGTTACTAATTTTGTGAAGGAGCTTCAAGATTTTTATTAGATAAAATGTAATGTTACAGTATTGCTTCCTAAAAGTCAGACTTCCAGAGCTGGGAGGCATGGCTCTCATAAGCGTTCAGCCTCATAAGGGAGCCTACACGTAGATTAGCTGTATTAAATGAGATGTGCTTCCTTTTTTCTTTTTCAGCCCTTGGAATTCTCATTTTACATTATTTACTACCTCCACCTGCTTTTGAAATAACATGCTAGAGAATCCCTTCAATTAACCATGTATCTCATTTTTCTTCACCCTGTAGTTAAGTCAAAATCTCTTGATAAGATTACTCAAAATTTTAAAGTCTACATTACTTATGCAAGCCACTGTATGTTGAAAAATTGTTTGGACTATTGCCTTGGTTAGGAGTTTATCAATTAATTGAACTAAGCATTAAATTCATAGTAGGAGCAATATACATATTTTTACCTTTTATAATTCTTGCTGCTGGGTTTATTTTCCATTTATGCAAGAGGTGTGATATAACCAAACTGAATTTATGATGGTAACTACTAACTGTATTTCTACATTCATGTCTGCAATTGCTTGCTTCTTATGAGAAGTTGCGTTCACAGCTGCATGTACAAAATATAGTGCTATTAGTGTGTAATTTGTAGTAGCAAGAAATAGATTCATCTAAGTGTAGCAGGAGGCATAGTTGAGCTAGTTAATGAATGGATAGTCCAATTTTTAGCTTACAGAAGGAAATGCAGATTTATTTTTTTTAATCTTGTAGTATTTTTTTTCAGCTTTCCTGTTCTTATCTTAAAATTCCCCTTTATATATAAAGAGTGTAAAATGCTGCTTATGAATGTGTTTCCTTAACATGGGGGTGGGGGGGGGGTTCATATCACAGGTTAAGCTGAAACTGTAGCATTTAAGTCTACTTCTATATGCTTAGTTTATATAAATGAGAACATAAATGTATTGGTACAGAATGACTGCATCTTTGGTAAATGTGTCTCTTAATCAAATTGCACTGCAGTCCTAGTCAACTATCCTTTCTTTTTCATGAGTATTTGTTATAGTTGAGAATATTTTTATTGGTTTTGATTATTCCAATGCATTCTTTTTTACATATTTCTGTGAAGGTCCCAGTCCACCAGTTTAAGCTTCTTCTTGTTTATTAGGTGAGCCTTTGTTAGAAAATACTGGAACTGGAGAACCTGTTTGCGAAAGTGTATCAAGCCAAACTTTGGAAAAGAACATGTCACCATTTTCTCTCTTCTCTTATGGTCTGGAAGGCAACCAAATCTCAGGGAACTTTATGAATCCTTACAAAAATTTTGAGGGCCTTGCAGAATATGCGACTGCTGGATGTAATGATTGGAATGGTCAGAATGGAATTGCTTTTGTAAACATCGACTGTTATAAGCTACATGGTGGTGCTGGAGAAGATCATGCTCAAGATGAATTTTCATTAGGAACAGAAGAAGCAGTTGTGTTGTGGGAAACAAGAAATAAAATATATTCTCAGTCTGGAAAAGTCATAGAGTCATGTACTGACTTACAGTCTCAATTGTCCAGTCTCAATCACAGTGTTACTAGAGAATGTTGTGAAGAAGCAGGACCAATGAGATGTTTTAGCATAAATTCAGACTTGGCATGTCCAAACAGCAGGACATCTAAAACATCTGATGAAGATCAAGCCATACTGAAAAGTAACCCAAGTGATAAAGTTTATGAAGTACAGCAGGTAAAAAGTAGAGAGAATGTTGGAATCCAACTCCCAATAGCAATTGCTAATGAGTTACATGTCAGTGATGACCAAGGAAGTTCACTTGAACTAGTAGTGAGACCTAAAATAAGAAAACAAAATACTTCAAATGAGTTGGAGAAAGAGAGGCTGCCTCTTAATGATGAGGAAAGGGAAAGTATTTCCTGGAGGAGAACTGAAACTGATGAAATTCAGCAAGGGTGTGCTGAATGTGCCTTTGATAGCAGAGAGATTAATTCTAGTATGTTCTTTGGCTCAAGAGGACATGAAGTTCATCAAAATGATGCAGAACTAAGGAAAAATGCAGCAGCTCAAGAACGAAAAAATGTTCTGGAAGATAGTGCTTTTTGTGATGGGCTTGAAGACTGCAACAGACACTTATCAATGTACCGTAAAGATAAAGACAGGTAAAATTTAAGTTTTATTTGTTTTAGTATTGAATCTTTTGTGTACATAATGTGCAAATCTGAATAGTTTGTTAGGAAATGGTTTGGTAGCAAACACAAGCAATTTCAGAATATGATCAGATAACAAGATGCGAACATTTCCTTTCAGGTTTTCTTCACCCTTCAAGTCCATCTAAAGAAATGGTGATGTGCTTTCTTCTAGTAATGTAAAAAGCCTTTTCTTATGTTTAGGGTCAAAGTGTCTTACCACTAAGGAAGACTACTTTTCCATTTTATTTTTGCTGAGCAGATGAAGGGTAGAGACAGAAAAGCTTGTTCAGCATAGGTTTTGGCAAATCATGGGTCTTTGAAAGTCCCCTTCAGGACTTGTGATTTTCAGAATTTGTTCTTTTTGTGATCAAATGTCAATATTCTGCATTACAGCATGTTTATATTCTTCTCCCCAGCCTTTTTGAAATAAATTATTCTTCCTTGTCATATCTGAACAATAACTTGATAAGATTGCTTATAGGTCCTTTTTTCTGATGATAGTCCTTTACACTAGTAGGTGTTTCCAAAGTGACTGTTATAGTTTCAGATCTGTGCAAATGGTTCCAACTTGGACACCAGGGTCAGTATTCAGACTTCTCCTATTCTGAGCTCTTTACGCAGAAGACAAATCAATTTGGATGGAATTTATGTTGATTAACTTCTATTCATATAGTGCTGGTTTAAGAGCTTTTCACTGTGGATTGAATTGTGTAACTGAGGTATTTGAGGGTAAAAACATTTCTAACATTCTGTTCATATGTCACATGCAGTAATGTTGGGTTTTGTTCTGTTTTTTTTTTTTTCCTATTTTTCTTCTAGTTTGTTTTCATCTTGCTGATTCTGTTACCACTGCATTCTTAACATGACATGACTTTTAGATGTTGTGGTTTTTTGTGTGTGCTTGACATTAAGCTTCATAAGCTAGCCTGCTTAGTGTAGACTGTGTTTCCACTGCTTCTATAGAGACAACAGCATGAAAATTAGTCTGCATAAACTCTTGTCCTTAAAATATCTTGCAGTCCCAATTACAAAGAAACAAAATCCTTAAGGCATTGTAAAATGAGGTAGTAGACTTAATTTTGAGTTTTTCTTATTGAAGAACTTGCAAATGAATACTTTCCTTCCTTGTAAGGTTTGCTTTTTGCAATTTTTTGTTACTGCATCTTTTCCACATCTGAAATGTTGCTACTAGAAAATTAAAATGTAATGGAGAAAATGGAATACATTTTACATTTATAGCATGACAAAAAAGTACAGCTTGCTTGTCTGAAAGTGAGTGTATTTGTCATGGTGGCAGTAACTAAACCACTAAATGAGGAAAATGTGTATTCTTGAACTTAAAAAAAAATTAGTTTGCTTTTTAAACCCTCAAAAGCCTTATCCCTAGGAAGTAAATTGTCAATAATTACTCTGCACAAAGGAGCAGTATGGTTTTCCACTCTCACAAAGTAAAGTTTTATGTTTAAAGGGTTAAGCCATACCACATGTTTAAATTTACATGTATAGCTGCATAAAAAGCAGAATTAACATATGCATCAAGTTAGACCCTGCAATTCACTATTCACTTATGTCCAATTCTGGCAGAAACTCACCCTGCTGATTACTGCAGCCAGAGCCTTCACCTCACATTTTTGCTTTAACAAGGTGCTATTATGGCATTAGCATGTAAAAGCTGTGTGTGGGAAGTAGAAAGCCTTGCGTATTTGTTAGAACCACATGTGCTCCAAGTTGGAAGGGTCATCATAGGTCCCCAGAGGGTAGAGGTAGTAGGAGATGAGAATTGTATCAATTGGCTTCCTCCATTTACTTTTAGATCATATGACAGGTACAGGCCAGTTAAGGCAGGGGAGAGACTATTATCAGAAAACTTATGTTCAGATTCTAAGTTAATCTTTTTTGCTTTTGACAAGTGACACGTCTATAACTCTAACCAGTAAGTGATGTTTTGCATCTCCACAGGGCTGGCCACAGTTAAATCATAGAATAGTTTAGGTTCAAAAAGACTTTCAGAGGTCACCTAGTCAAACCCCCCTGCAGTGAGCAGGGTCATCTTCAGTTAGATCAGATTGCCCAGAGCCACATGGAGCCTGGCCTTGAATGTCTTCACAAGGTGCATCCACTGCTTCTCTGGCCAACCTGTGCCAGTGTTTTGTCACCTTCAGTGTAAAGAATTTTTTTTCCTCAGATGCAGCCTGAATCTCCCCTCTTTTAAAGCCATTATAACTTGTCCTATCACAACAGACCCTCCTAAAAAGTCTCTCCCCATCCTTCTTATAGGTACTTATATGTACTGAAAAGCCAAATAAGATCTCCATGGAGACTTCTCCAGGCTGAACAGCCCCAACTCTCTCAGCCTTTCCTCATCAGAGAGGTGCTCTGTCCCTCTGATCATTTTTGTAGCCCTCCTCTGGGCCCTCTCCAACAGGTTAATATCTTTCCTGACCTGAGGACTTAAGAGCTGGATGCAGTACTGCAGGTGGTGTCTAATGACAGTGCTGTAGAGGGGAGAATCACTTCCCTTGACCTGCTGGTCATGCTCCTTTGGACGTAGCCCAATATATGGCCAGGTTTCTGGGCCACAAGCACACACTGCCAAGTTATGTCCAATCTTAAATCCATTAGTAGTCCCAAATCCTCCTCCTCAGAGATATTCTCAATCCCTTCACCCCCAGCCTGTATTGATACCAGGGGTTTCCCTGACCCAGGTGCAGGACCTTGCACTTGGCCCTGTTGACCCTCATGAAGTTTGCATGGGTCCACATCTTAAGCCTGTCCATGTCCTTCTGGATAGCTTTCCACCCCTTGGGTGTATTAACTGCATGGAAATCCAAAGTCTGGAAACTTAAACATTCGGTGTTTTTAATTTGTTCAGTATTAATTACTTCAGATTTATACTCCTTTCTGGTTTGAACTACTAGCTTTGTGTCAACTTTAAAGAAAAACTTGTTTCAACTCCAAAAAAGGAATATTATTCTAAACTGTTTTGGAAATTCCTGAATTACAAAATAGAAAAAGATTTGACTATTTGGGCTAGTCTTACAGTACGTTTAGATAACATTTTTAAAAAATTCTAAAATGTTAGTTTTCAGCTTTAGTTGGTATAATATAAGATTCACTAGACTGTATAGCAGAGTTTTTTAACGGATATGATTTCTACTGTAGTCTTTTTAAAAGGGTCAGAGTTAATGAATATTCTCATTTCCACCAGTTTCCCTAGTTGTCAAAATTGTGATAGAAAAATATATTCCTGCTTCAAATTAAAATGCTTCCATACAATCTGTGTCTTGATCTTCTTTATGTTTGTAAATCTTTGTGTATAATATGCAGTTTTTCAGAAGTACTTGTAATTCATTAAATGGCAAGATTGCTTGGAATTTACTTATTAGATAAAGGGAGGGTTTCTTTAAAGTGAGTTTGTAGGGGGAGACATAACATTGATACCAAGAGTCATACTGTATTTAGCATATTGAAAACAGCTGCAGGTCTTGTGGATTGCTGTGTAAGATGTCCTCTGATAAGTATATTTGTATATTAGTAGTTTTCTATCCCTCTTTGAAAGGACATGGCTACTTGACTGTGCTTTGAATTTTGCTAGCTGTCATCTGCCACTGAGTATTGAGTGAATCTTCTAAGTGGCATTACAAAGGTAGCAGTAGATAAATTCATTTTTCTCGAGATTCTGCCAACATCATTATTTTGTTTAAGCTGCCCACAGTATGTTATTTACTGCCCTTTTGTATGTGATGGCTGACCAAATACTTTTTGAAAAGCTCCCAGTGTTTTATCTGTCCAGGCTAGTGAATTATATAGTTCGCAGTAAGTCATCCATTGTATCCTCATATGATTTTTTTTTTTAAGGAAGGGCCATTGTATATGACTTAAAGGCTATGAGAGTTTTTTTGTCTGTCTGAGAGGTAAGGGTGATATGGCTTATTGTTTGTTAAGCAAGCATTGGTTTCTCAGTGTCACTGATGCTGTTTTATCTTTGTGTGCTTGGAGAAGGATGTGTAGAGTGGGTCTGGGTTTATTTTAATGAGTTATGTACTCTGTAATGTACTCATGTGCTCTGAAGATGTGGAAGGGGAAGAACAAAAAACTTCGCAAAGTGAGATGGGCAGAATTCTTTCTTAACTGATTATTTTTTTTCAATCAGCTCTTTACACATATTTGCCTTTTAGTACATCTACAAATACTACATACTGAATTTCTCCTAGATAAAAACAGACAATATTGAGAGCAATGTTCATAGACAGTAGGAAATCACAGAACACTTGTGTTTGTTTCCTTTTAAGCAGTGTTTAAATCCACGCCCTGTTGTCTTGTTTAAATTGCAGCTCAGAATGCAGTGATGGAGAATGGTCTGCAGCTGCACCTCCATATTTTACTGCTACAGAAAAAGACCACTCAAGTGCTGAGAGCTGTGAGACTATCCCAGGCAGGGAGAAATGTGAGCCTGAAGTGCAGAGCAGCAGCAGCAATTGTGTAGAAGAGGAGAACAGAGACTGCTCTTCACAAGGAGGGTATGGTTTTATTAGATAACTTCCTGTAAGTTCTGACATGTAACATGGTATTGACATGACACCATGCAGAACATCAAACTCTAAAAGTAGTTACTGTACTAACAATAATAATTACCTACATGAAAATTATTTGAATGCTTATAAGTATTTCAAATCAGGAGAAAAAATGGCATGACATGTAAATAATTCTATTTAAGGAAAGATACAGAAATAATGAGAGGGCATTGACATGTAATGTTAATAGGGATAATAGACGTTGATGTACTGAGTTTAAAAAGCTATTATTATGCCACTTAATTGTAAAGATATACATGGTGCATACACATTTGATACTTCTTAGTACTCCTCAAAAAGCAATTGTTTACATTATTGCTTCTTATATTCCATTGCTGCTCTTTATTCCTGCAGCCCTATCAGTAAGTACAGTAAAGTATACTTTACTATATATGATTCATTCAGGATATGAACTAAATATTTCTGTGTTCTTGGCTCTTCAGTTTCAGCTTGTTATGCTGTTGGCACAGGTATATCTAGTACATTCCTTAATGAATGTAACCAATATGAGTTCTGTTGCATTTCTTTCTACTGGAGGTCCTTAGTATCTTGGGTAGTTGAATGTATGATGTTTACATCAAATCTGCCTGCTGCAGCATAGGAGTGTTAAAAATTTTGTATGGTGAAAAATTTAAGTTTCAAATTAGATGATTTCAGAGTGCTGTGTCTCTTAAGTCATTATACAGATGAGGAACATGTATGTGGATCCTGTTTTGGTGCCTTTTTTTTTCTCTGAAAACCTGCATTGGTTGTGTAGCTGAGGTACTTTATATTTTTGCTTACACCTGGGTAATTTGATAGCTGAAGCTAGGAAACACACTGATGTGGCTTTTATTCTCAGAAAGAGAAATGTAGTGACAGTTTTGTATTTGTATATATATGTTAGGTTATCTTGAACTATGTGCTTACTGAGAACTTAATAGAATCATAGAATCACAAAATGGTTTGGTTTAGAAGGGACACTAAATCTAGTTCCAAACCTTCTGCCATGGGCAGGACACCATCCACCAGACTAGGCTGCTCAAAACCCTATCTAACCAGGCCTTGGACACTTCCAGGGGTGGGACATCTGGGCAACCTGTGCTAGTGTCTCACCACCCTCATAGTGAAGAACTTTCTTTTTTCTAATATCTAAACTTCCCCTCTTTCAGCTTAGAGCCATTCCCCCTGGTCCTGTCAATACAGGCCCTGATAAAGTGTCTCTCCCTGTCTTTCTTACAGACCCCTTTCAAGTACTGAAAAGCCACAATAAGGTCTCCCTGGAGAATTCTCTTCTCCAGGCTGAACAGCCCCAACTCTCTCAGCCTTTCCTCATCAGAAAGGTGCTCCATCCCTCTAACAGTTTCTGTGGCCCTTCTCTGGATCCTCTCCAACAGGTCCATGTCCTTATGCTGGAGGGCCCTGAGATATGAATGCAGTGCTTCATGTGGAGTCTTACCAGAGTGGAGGGTTAGAATCCCCTCCCTCGACCTGCTTGCCACGCTGCTGCAGATGCAGCCCACGACACAGTTGACTTTTCTGGTCTGTGAAAGCATACTACTGGCTCATGTCAAGCTTATCTTCAACCAAGAGCCTGAAGTGCTTCCTCTGAGGGCTGCTCTGAACCACTTCTTTGCCCAGCCTGTGTTTGTGCCTGGGATTGCCCTGACCCAGGTGCAGGACATAGCACTTGGCCTTGTTGAACTTCATGAGGTTGGCATTGGCCCACCTCTCAGGCATGTCAAGGTCCTTCTGGATTGCATCCCTTCCCTCCAGAGTATCAACTGCATCATACAGGTTGGTGTCATCAGCAGACTTGCTGAGGGTGCATCAGTCTTACTGCTCATGTTGCCACCAAAGATGGCAACATGATGTTGAAAAGCATGGGTCCCAATACTGACCAAGAGGGACACCACTTGTCACTGATCTCCACCTGGACATTGAGCCATTGACCACAACTCTTTGAGTGTGACCATCCAGCCAATTCCTTATCCACTGAGTGGTCCCTCTGTCAAATCCATACTTCCTCCAATTTATAGACAAGGATGGTGTGTGGGGCAGTGTCAAATGCCTTGCACAAGTCCAGGTAGATGACACCAATCATTCTTCCTTTCTTTACCTGTCAATGCCACGACCTCAAAGGCCACCAAATCTGTCAGGTGCATGACAGGATGAGGAGCAGTGTTCATAAACTAAACCACAAGAAGTTTCACCTCAACATGAGGAAGAACTTAACACTGAGGTTGGCAGAGCACTGGAACAGGCTGCCCAGGGGGGTTGTGGATTTTTCCTCCCTGAACATGTTCCTGTGTAACCTGGTTTAGGTGGCCCTCCCATAGCAGGGGGTTAGACCAGATGGTCTCCAGAGGTCCCTTCCATCCCTAACAATTCTGTGATCTTATCAGACCCCATTGACTTCTGCACCTTCAAGTTCCCTAGATGATCTTGAATCTGATTTTCTCTACCATGAGCAGTTCTTCATTCTCCCAGTCCCACCTTTGCATTCTGTGACTTCGGTGGTTTTGGTTTGTTTAGATGCTTTGTGGAAAGAAAAAAGAAAATTGATCTTTTATCTTTTTTTTTTTTTTTTTTTTAATAAAGAAACAAGCAATGCCTATGTGTTCTTTCTGTTTCTTCCACTCTTATATAGATGGTACCTACCACCAAGTAGTCCAAATCACTGATACTGCTTTCTTTAACATTGCCTTCTCTTAAGTTTTGGAGAATTAGTGTGGCTTTATGAAAACACTATCAAAACACATTTGTTTCAGAACAACAATGAAGCTATGTACTCTTTAGCTTTTTTTTTTTGATGTGAACAGCCTGCAAATGTATCCCTTTCTAATGTGATTTCTCTTTATTTGCCCTTTAATAAGGAAAGTGGACTTGCAGCCCTGTGGCTTTAAACATCCAGGTGATTTGTGCTCTTCTAGAAAATACAGGAATGAGAGGAATCTTATTCCTTATGCAAATAGATTCTCTTCCAAATAGTGTATTTTTGCATTTAGGCCAAGCTTTTTCATGAAGGCTGTTTCAGAGTGTTGAGACAGCTTTTCTTTTTAGTAGCTTTACAAACTTCTAGATGAGTAAGTATCTTTAGTAACAAACTTACCAGCTCTGGCAGGGATACTGCCTATACTAGTGAAAATGCAAAATAAGGTGCTTACTGTACTACTGGCCTTGAGCATTAGACAAATAATTTTGCCATGGAATCATGGTGTTACTAGATTCTGAATCTGGAGCTTGGGAGTTTCTTGGGTTTTTTACAGCAAATGCTATATTCCTAATATGGGACTCTACTGTCTGGGAAACATGAATCTTCAACCCTTGCAATATGTGTAGCTTTTGTTACTTGCATGTGTTTGTAAATTCTCCTTGCTCTTTAGTTTCAGCTTTGCATTTATTTATTTTAAGGCAACACATGTTGGAGGAAGGAGAGATTCCTCTGTTACAATGCCAGCAAGTAGAAAGCATCGGTGTTGTGGAAGCTAATCTACTTCCTGACTTTGTGTTTTCTGGATTCTTCTTGCTGGAGGAAAATTACAATGTTGAGGATGATTCCAGTGAGAGTGAAGATCTGAATTTGGAGCAGAGGTATGCCTTTAATAGTTTTCTGCAGTAATTTCAGAGGGCTTGTCATTACTGTATTGCTTTTCATGTAAAGATGTCAAAGATACTCCTGGCTATCAGTATGTACATGCTTCAAAGGCTGATAAATCTGAGATTTAAGGCTTAAGGAACTTCAAGTGCTACATGTCTTCTGACTAGAGGAAAAAGGATGTAGATTTACTAAATCAGGCTGTGAGACTCAAAGATTGGTGCACTAAATATTCAAGGGATTGCTCTACTTCAATTAATTTTCAAGGTGGTAAGTATGGTGCAAGTATAATGAAAGCAAAGCAACATAAAAGTAATCAGTATTCAAGTCAGTGCTATTTTATAATTGGTCTTCCCTCTTGCAGGCTGGCATAGTTTAGATGTTACAAACCTAATCTATTTCACTTTGAAATGCCACATGCTTACCTAATATCATAGTTTTGAGTGCATTTTTCTATTTCTGTCATAAGGTTAGTGAAGAATATTGCAATATATTCACTACAAAAATTCTGCATATACCAGGAAGAAAGTGATTGGAGACACTTTCATAGCCTTATTTTAGAATAGTATAATGTGTTTGTTTAAGAGTGATCTAGACAGAATGCTTTCCAGTGAGATTTAACACTTGTTCTCTCTTACTTTTTAAAAATACTATAAACTGCAGCATAGGCATAACAGAAACACTGGTATTTTTTCCTTGTGAAGCTGAATTGTGAAAAAGCACAACAGGTATTAATACATGAAATTCCAAGCTAGAAGTAAAGTGTGTGTTCTTACAGCACCAGGCAGCAAAGTAGCAAAGGAATTACAGAAAAAAGACAAAACTTGGTTTTTCAGTGTTGGAGAGTTAGCCTCAGGAGACTTCCTAATTACTCAAAATAGGAAGGGAGATGCTTCTCTAATAATACATTAAGTTTTGTCTGCTGACCACGTGCAGATCCACACATGGCTTTTTACCTGGTTTAAGATTTGATATCTGAACAGAACTCAAAGCAGCTGCCAAGCTATGAACTGTGACACAGAATGTAATAAAAATCTGAACGCTAATTGCAAAATGAGCTTATATGTATTAAACTTACTAGCTGAACCATATGCCCTTTTACTCTGGAGAAGTCAATGGTAAAATTTGCTATCATGTTCTCCTGAAGTCTGTGTTGTCTTGAGCGTGCCATGTACTGTGAGCTGTTGGGCAGGCTGCAGGGAGGCCTGGGAAAGTATATTTAAGAAAGGATAAACAACACTGCACAACAGAGTAAGAGAGAGGAGTGAGGATAAGAGAAGCAACCCCAGATACCAAAATGAGACAAAGGGGAGGAGCTGCTCCAGGTGCTAGAGGGATTCCCCTGTAGCCCTGAGAGAAAACCACAGTGAAGCAGGTAGGTACTCGTTGAGGGAACTGTGCCTGTGGAGAATTCAAGCTATAGCAATTGGTGAAGGACTGCAGCTTGTGGGAAAGATCCATACATGAGCATGCTTATCGTGAAGGACTGCAGCCTATGGGAGGGACCTGCACTGGAGGAGAACTGTAGGAACAAAAGAGTTAAAGACAGGAACTGCCATAAACTGGCCACAGCCCTCATTCCCTATTTATCTGCATTGCTTGGGGTGGGGAAACATAGTGGAGTCATGAGTGAAGGAAGGGAGAGCTAAGGGTAAGGAGTTTTAATTGTTGTCTTTGTTTCTCACCATTCAAATCTATTTTTATTGGCAAAACCTTTTAGTTAAGTTAAGGTTCCCCTTTGAGTCTGTTTTCCCTGTGATAGTGATTTGCAAGTGATCTCCCTGTCTTTATCTTGACTCATGAACTTTTAGGCCTATTTACCCACCTATCCAGTGGAGGTGGGAGAGTGAAAGAGCAGCTGGATGGGCAACCAGCCTACGTGAACCAAACACAACCACCTCGTGTAAGATCACAGTTGTTAATAGATGATGTGCAGTGATTTGATGTATCCAGCCATCATGTTGTTACTATTTGCTTTTAAATGACCATGTTTCCCAACTCCTGTTTTTCAGACCACATAGCGAGTCTGGTAATGGCCTGGGACTTGCTCAAGCTGTTTCTGATGTGAACCCTATCACAATTGAGTCACTAGAGGAACGCTTACAAGAAGCTGAGCAGGTATTAAAATATTTTTGGTGATATTATATCAGTGATGTTGAATCCTTGTAAGCATAATCTGAAAATTGGGATAATTGGGTCAGAATTACTTTCCTGCTTTAGCTTGAACTTTCAGGTGTGCAAGGTTTAAAATAAGCATTAGAGGTTCTTCTAAAGCATATAGTGCAAGAAGTTATTCATCAGTGCTGCTCCTTTTAGAAGATGTATTTATTTCCTCTTACAGGAAAAAAGATACTGATTTCTATCAATATAAATGTGTAGCTTAAATTATTCTAGGAATGTTTTCAAATTCCCTTCATAACAAAGAAAAGTTCTTTCCTGTATCTGTGCCTATGAGAATTCCCAGCTTTATTTTATTGCAATGGTACAATTGGATGTCTTGTATTTTTATTCCTCAGTAGGCAACTTTTCTGTTTGACTGTCTTGACTCCATGTGGTTCAAAGTAAAAATAAGAACAAACAAGCAAAAAAATGGAACCAAACCAAACAAAAACAAATGAAAAAAAAAAAAAAAAAAACAACACAAAACCAACCAGAAGCAAAAAAGCCTTTATCTTTACCTTGTTCTAATCTCATTTCATCTATCTAACTTTGGATAAACCAGAGAATTTTGTCTTTTCTGTGTTACATGACACTGGTTACTGTCAGAGTGAACACAAAGCTAGCTGAAATTTGGTTTGCAGTATAACTATTCTTGCACTGCCAGAAATCTCCCTTGCTGGGTATTTTGTCAAAATAAGAGTTGAATGATGTGTAGACTTATAATGTAGTGTTACAGCAGTCAAAGTGAAAGTTGTGTATGACATAAATTTAGGGGCAGCGAGGGGCAGTTTGACTACTAGCTTTTGGTTAAAAGGGGTGAACAGGGCAGGGTGTATGTCATAGTGTGCTTGAAGACAAAATACCAAGGGTGCTTTAAAGTGCTTTCTAAAGCTGACTATCAGGGGAACAATCATAGAATTTTTTTATTATTTTTTTTTTTTCTTCCATGGATATGTGCACAATCAGTGGTTTTGTGAATAAACTTCATGGGGATTTTCAAGGGGTGGAAAGGTTGGTCCCTGAAGCTGGCAGTCATTCAGTTTCCAGGTATTGTGCATCCCCCAAGTTATGTAGGAGGTCAGCATTATTCATGGTCAAGTACCACAGGGTTTTCTCCAGCTGTGTAGGATCTTGTTAGCATTACTCATCTGGAGACATTTCAGGACTGCTTATTAATATGTAAGACGTCTGTTAATGTCGTTACTATAAAAGAGTTATTTTGAAGTTGTACAGAGAAAATTCCTTGTCTCTTTTATAGCTGCTGGTTCTCACTACATCAAAAAGCACAGAACTACAGAAGCATTTGATCTCCTTTGTACCAAAGCAAGAGGATCTCTGTAGAGGGGTGCAACTAATCTGACCTTTCTTTTTTTTTTTTTTTTTTTGTCTTTTTTTCTATGTTAACACTTGAAGAGGAGACTGAATTGTTATGGCTCTGAATTTTTCTTTCTTACTGCCATGTAACAATGTTTTTTCTAGTTACGTTCACCCTTTTGTCAGGTTGTCCTGTAAAAGCAAACCTAGGTGCCTGTGCGCATAACTGGCTGAGATGTTGCAATTATGTTAGTGTTGCCAGGAAGAGCGTCACTGAACACACCTGGCAAGCGGGTAGATGACTGGAAAGGTAGTTGTGCTCTGGTATCTGTGGAACAGGTCACTGTGGCTGTTGGGCAAGAAGTAAAGCAAATTTTCTGAAGTATTCTTTGTGCTTGAAATTATCACTTACATGTCTGAGACTTTATGGTGATCATAGAAGGCTGGCAGAATTTGAATTAGTCAGCAGAAAATGGTGGCTGTGTAATAAAAGGAATTGCTGTATTGACTAAATGGCCAACACAGGTTTTGAGTAAAAATTATCAATATTTCTTCCAAATCTCAAGCAGAATATATAAAGCACCATTCCTTCTAGTATGAAAATGCTTACTAAAATTGTTCAGAAAATAAGAGCAAGGATTACACAAAAACTATGCAACATATCTGTTGGGCAATACAGCAAATATTTTGGGAAGGAGAGAAAGAGCAAAAAAAGACACCATAATGTCTTAATTCTAATTACTTGCTGAACTAATTTTAATTATTTGCTGAGATCCTATCTTTTAATGACCAGATCTAGATATGTTTTCTGCTTTCTAGAAAGTAAGACTTGCAAATGGCTAGTCCAGTGTCCTCTTTTAATAAAATATGATCTGACCCTGTGGCTGACTTGATTGACATAGACTAGAAACTTGGGTTCCTGGAAGGACATTTAGTACATCTTTTAAACACAACTTTTCTGGTTATCAGAAAATTGTAGATGAAGATGTAGAAGTGTTCCACAAATTTAAAAATGCAATACTTTTCACTGAAAGAGTAATTATCTTGCAGTGTTGCAAAGCCTTTTTCTGAACTTCAGTACTGCGGTCACAGCGCTTACTCAGATATCCAAAATGTGGTTTACAGCATTTTCAGGGTAAAAAAAAAAAAAAAAAACAAACCACAAAAAAAAAAACAAACCCCAAACCAAACAACTCTTTAAAAAACTAAACAAAAACAAGCAAACAAAGAACTCAACCAAGAAACAACAACTGTTTCTTTTGTGATAGAGCAAATTGAAGTATCTTTTTAAGTCTGGGTGAGGAGATTGCTGAAAATGTCTTTGCTTTCTTCTAGAAAATGCAATTTATGATTTTCTATTTATAGGGTTTATGGAAAACGTAATATGACAGTTTTTGTTGGTAGTTTGTCGCAAATCTATATATGTATCATGTAAAGAGTTACAGGTCACTGTGAGGGGTACCTTAGTAACTAAGTTCAAGGTGATCAGGCTTGATCACTCTTTGAGGGAAGTAAGAATTGGAGCTAGTTGTTTTCCTTTCTCATGATTGGCATTTTATGTTTCTCATCTCTCTCCCCAAGAGTAAAGAGTGATTTCATCTATTCTTGACATCTTTCATGTTATTTCAGGGATCAAGACTTGATTTGCTTTTGCTAGGCATTTTTTTGCAGTATGATTAGATCTGAGTTTCATCAGATACCTTTTCTGATTGTTGTACAATTTTTCTTCTCACCTTCCAGATCTTGCTTGCATGCGTTGTTTTCTTTCTGTGATTACACTGAAGCTGGTTTGCCACTTTGCAGTTACATAGTATCTATATATTTATCCTCAGCTTACTAATAGGCTGCTTGTTGCTGGTTATGCTATTACAGCAGTATTTAGATCTGGCTTTAGGGCAAACAGCTCTTTCTTAAACCTTGATTATCTAATTCTACCTATGGGTGTAACAGACTTCTGCGTTTGCTTCATGAAGTAGTAAACCTGGTAAAAGTATTTTTGCACCAGAGATTTTGTAATGGTGATGTCTGAGCTTTCACTAGCTTCAAGTAGTATTCTAATTCAATGAGCAGATTGGGTTAAGTTTAATTATAACATCACTAGTAATCTAATGACTGTAAATTTATTCAACTTCTTATTGATTTATTTAATCTCCATGCTTAAGTGTAAAAAAATTCTCTTAGCTAAAATAGCAGATTCATGAACCAGATCTTTTTCACCTATAACAATGTAGTTTATTATGACAGCCTATAGCTCAGAAACGTCTGTCCAGTTCTGGGCCCCTCAGTTCAAGAAGGACAGGGACCTGCTGGAGAGAGTCCAGCGCAGGGCAACTAAGATGATTAAGGGAGTGGAACATCTCCCTTATGAGGAGAGGTTGAGGGAGCTGGGTCTCTATAGTTTGGAGAAGAAGAGATTGAGGGGTGACCTTATTAGTGTATATAAATATATAAAGGGGAAGTGTCACGAGGATGGAGCCAGGCTCTACTCAGTGGCAAACAATGGTAGGACAAGGGGCAATGGGTACAAACTGGAACACAAGAGGTTCCACTTAAACTTGAGAAGAAACTTGCCCTCAGTGAGGGTGACAGAACACTGGAACAGGCTGCCCAGGGAGGTTGTGGAGTCTTCTTCTCTGGAGACATTCAAAACCCACCTGGACACATTCCTGTGTAACCTTATCTAGATATGTTTCTGCTCCGGCAGGGGGATTGGACTAGATGATCTTTTGAGGTCCCTTCCAATCTCTAGCATACTGTGATACTGTAACTTTTCTGAAAATTTCTCTATCCAGCAAGCTGATGTAGTGTAGCTGTGAAACACTTAAAGGTTGTGATGTAATGCATCTAGAATTCAAGTATATCTTAACTGGGGAGGAGGGGAGGGAGGAGGATCAGTTACTTGTGACCTTTGAAGGAGAAAAGTAGTGAACGTATAAAACAGGTTTTTTGTAAATAGAAAAAAAAAAAAAAAGTTCTGTGAGACTCTGTGATCCTAAAATGTAATAACCTGTATGTGTGATTTATATTTGTTTCCATTTGTTTTAAAGAAATTACTTAGCTGGGAGTGTTTAGTTTAGTTCATTAGATAGAACAGGGGCATCAGAACTTCATTTATGAATATTTCTTTTACCAACTCAAAGACACAAGGAGTTGTATGCTATGGCACTCCTGGTTTTAGCAGTGTCTGACATTTGGTTTTTGATACATGGAGCAGTAAGCGGTTGCATAAGTGATGAGAGGAAGAAAATAAAGGTATCTTTGAAGTTATAAATTTATCTTATAAAAGCTGTAAAATGGCTGCTTTGGTTTTGAAGATGTGAAATGGATCAGACATTGTGGGGCTTTCTGTGATATCTCTTTATTGTAGCTTTCAAAAGCAAACAGTACAATGATTTTGTTAATTGATTCCTGGTTTTGAGTGCTAATATCTAGACAGAGAAGTTTGACATGTAGGTAACACTGCTTCCTTCTGCCCGGGATCTTAATGTAATTTTTCCTGCTGTAGTAGGCAATCTAATTACAAATACCTACACCTTATTCTCAGACCACTGCCACTGTAACAAAATACCATAGGAAATTTTAAAATCATCTTAATGTTAGTAAGACAGTATTGTCTGCTGCAGCAGAAGTGAATGTTTTTAAGCTGTTAAATCGGAGGAGTGTACCTGTTTTGCATTGTAAAATGCACTAGGGATAACAGTCCCAGGATTTCCTTTAAATTAGAAGATTTCTAAATAAGTATGTGTGGCAGTAGAAGCTGTACATATTTTCTTGTTAGCTCAATCTCTCTCTGCCTGCTACAAACATTTGACTGTATGTGTAAACATGCTAGTTTAGATCTGTGGTAGGATGGTTGCCTGAGCTACTTTGCCACTGTGATAAAAGTGCAGGCATGTTTTCAGTTTACAGTTCTTGTAACTTTAGCTGAAGCTTAGGATGAGGCGTTACTGAAGATATTTGTATAGTCCTATCTTTCTGTAGTATATTTTGAGGTTTTAGTTAAGTGTACCCCCCACATTACAAAAATGTTAGGTTATCTTAAGCATCGTACCAAGGGAATTTTGTGGCCATTAGAATAAATAATTTTCATGTTGATCAGAGCAGTATTTGTACTTGAGGGGTGTGACTGATTCATTCAGGATATGAACTAAATGTTTCTGTGTTCCTGGCTCTTCAGTTTCAGCTTGTTATGCTGTTGGCACAGGTATATCTAGTACATTCCTTAATGAATGTAACCAATATGAGTTCTGTTGCATTTCTTTCTACTGGAGGTCCTTAGTATCTTAGGTAGTTGAATGTATGATGTTTACATCAAATCTGCCTGCTGCAGCATAGGAGTGTTAAAAATTTTGTATGGTGAAAAATTTAAGTTTCAAATTAGATGATTTCAGAGTGCTGTGTCTCTTAAGTCATTATACAGATGAGGAACATGTATGTGGATCCTGTTTTGGTGCCTTTTTTTTTTTCTCTGAAAACCTGCATTGGTTGTGTAGCTGAGGTACTTTATATTTTTGCTTACACCTGGGTAATTTGATAGCTGAAGCTAGGAAACACACTGATGTGGCTTTTATTCTCACAAAGAGAAATGTAGTGACAGTTTTGTATTAGCAAGCTTTATTATGTTTTTGACTTGCTACTATTTCTGAAATTTTATAAAAGGACCAAGTGTTCATTAGAGAACAAGTTCTGACTCTGTCCTGATACTTTTTGAAGGCTTAAAAACCAAGCTATTACTGTTTTGACCTTCACTTTCACCTCATTCATTATGAAAATAGAAATGATGTAATGGTTAGTGGGACAGACATAACTTCTATTTAAGAAAGTGATACTATTGGAACTGGATTCATTTTCTTGCTTTTTTCTTTATATGGAATGTTACATTTGTGCATAAAAAAACCTTAGTTTCTGCTCACTCTTTTCAGAATGCTCTGGTATATTTGGGGTTTGTTGGACTTCGGTTTGACAAGGCTCATCCACCAGCTACGAAAGAAATGATAGATTCTCTGCCACAGGTTGTCATCACAAATGACCAAGCTGGTATGGAAAAGTAATTAAGAATTAATTTCCATGAAGTTTATAAGAACAAATTTAGCTTTCTGAAATATCGTAGGCACAGTTTCTAAACATACTATGCAGCTGGCAATACTGGTCTGAGAGCTTTTGAATCTTGAATCAGACTGAATATAACTTGGAAAAGTAACTAAACTGGAGTAAGAGTAATTGTGTTTTTTAATCATTAGGGATACTGTTGATAGTATATATAATCTTAGATGTAAAACAAGATAATACTAATGGTTTTTATTTTTTTTTATCATGAGTTTAGGTCAAGAGCAGCGTTGTATTATCTGTTGCTGTGAATATGTGGAAAATGAAATCATAACAGAGCTACCCTGTCATCATTTGTTTCACAGAACTTGTGTAACTCTTTGGTTACAGGAAGTAAGTACTACAGGATTGATGGAGGGTTGGTGGGTTTTTTGACTATTTGCATTCTTTTGTGAAGAACAGTTTGTAACTTTCTGAAATGTGGGATGAAATACAAAGAACTGTGGAACCAAATTCTAGTGCAAGTGAGGAAAGTAACTTATATCTGTACTCAGCTGAAGGGCAACTTCTTGAACAGAAGAGGTATTTTTGTGAGGAAAAACATGGTCTGCTTTTATTAAGTATAAGAGGTGGCTTAGTTATAACTTGTTTTGATACAAGAAAAGCTTTCTTTACTGTACTCATATCTTGAAGTAAAGAAGATTGCTTGCTTTTCTCTGAGAAGAGTCAAGGATCTGTTCCCTTGCCAGAATGTCAGGACCCATTTCTGGTGGCAGCTAAGGTTGGTGGGAAGAATACTGGAATGCATGTAGATTAATTAAAAAAAAAATAATTGTTTGGTAAGTCTATATTGTATTAGATTTCATTTTGGTCATGTGTAGTCAGTTTCCTTCCAAGTGTCTTATGAAGGCTTACATCATGTTGAGGCTATACTAAAATAACTACAGTTAAGGAACTGGTGTTATCTTTTCCTTGCACTTGCACTCTCCTTTACACCATACAATCCTGAACTTCCTAGTTGTCAGTGAGCCTACAGCGCAACACATTGTTTCTTCAAGAAGTACAAGAGAGATTAATTGACTCAGACTATGGAGATCAGATTAGAACACCTGTAGCACAGGTTGTTGTTGGGTTTGTAGTTTTTTAACTTTATAGTTTTAAAAAAAGGTTTATTACCATTTTAACATTGCTTTATTATATGTTCTGCCTTTTTCTGCAGTCATAGTAAACTGCTCTTGCTGAAAACTAGAACAAAATACTTCCTGTTAGATGTGGGCTAGTTTATTTTTAATCCTTGCCTTAAAAAAAAATAATTTCTCACCTGTAAAATCAATTCTTTGAAGATGACCTTGCAGGGAACCTGATGTGTCTGCTGTGAAACTGGGGTAAAAGGAAAATGAAGCTTTCTTCTCAGATTTTTAGCTGTCTTTTAGCTCCAGGTAGCTATCCAGTCAAATTTGACTTTGAGACAGTGCTGTTGTGAAGACATTAAAGACTTCATAACCTTCAGCTTTTCAATAGAATTGAATGCAAATTGCAAATGACCTGATTTTTTTTTTTTTTCTCTCTCTCCCTCTAGTCGGGAACATGCCCGGTTTGTCGTCATGAGCTTGCACCTGTGCCTCTTGAAACAGCTGCTGGCACTGTTTCTTTCCTACCTGATCATGACTTGGCATCTTCTGCTCACAGTGTTACAGGAACTACAAACTAGGATCTGAACTTAAATTGCTGCTACCAAAAACAAAAATGTAAATTTTGCCTGTTTAATTACAATGTGAATACATTGTTTATAAAATACTATGTTTAAAGTACTATCTATATTCTAGTTTAGAAAAAGGGTACAAGACTTTTTCTGAACTCTTAGGCTTACAATGATAGCTTAAATTTTTAAAACTACAAGTTAGAAGAACGTGTGGCAGCCTTGTTAGAGCAGAATGTTCCTGGTAACTGCAATGTCTAAAGCTTGTATTATGGTAACTTTTCTCCTGACTGTGGCACTTTGTTGAAGTTCTTGCAGCTGCAATGCAGTTGCAAGTTGCATCTTATTAATGGTGTGTTTATTGGGTTTTCACAATAAAGTGCAATTGATCTCATATTTGTGTCAAATGCAAAGATGTTTTGTGATGTGGTAGTGGTAGAATTTGATTTCATTGCACAGTGGACAACTTTCCCACCTCTCTCTTCTTCCTGTCCTTTCTGAATAGTTTATAGTCATCAATCACAGGATTCCAATCATGGGGTTCATTGAATCATAGAATCACAGGCATGTTTGGTTTAGAAAGGACCTTAAGAACATCTAGTTCTAACCCCCTCTTCCACGGGCACAGACTCCTCAACCTAGACCATGTTTATGTGTCCTGGGTTTAGCAGTGGCAGTCATTTTTCTCTTTCTTGGTAGCTGGTGCAGTGCTGTGTTTTGACTTTCAGCTGGGAACAGAGCTGAAAAACAATGATGTTTTGGTTTGGCCAAGGACTTTGTGAGCCTCATGCTCTGCCAGGGAGGAGGGGAAGCCGGGAGGAAGCAGAGACAGGACACCTGACCCAAACTGACCAAAGAGGTATTCCATACCACAGCACGTCATGCCCAGGATGTAACTGGGAGTTAGCCGGAAGGGCTAGGTGGACTGCAGGGTTGGAGGAGGTATCGGTCGGTGCTTGGTCGGGCTGGGGGGAGCAAGTTATCGGTTGCCTGGTGATGGGGTGTTGTATTCTCTTCCCTTGTTATTTCCTTTATCATTACTATTATTGGTGGTAGCAGTAGTGATTTGTGTTATACCTTAGTTACTAAACTGTTCTTATCTCAACCCGTGGGAGTTGCATTCTTTTTTATTCTCCTCTCCGGCCCTCCGAGAGTAGGGGGAGGGCAAGAAGGGGGGGGAGTGAGTGAGTGAAAGCTGTCTGGTTGTGGTGAAACCACGACATTATGTTAATAAATGTGATAGTGATTTAGTAAGATTCAGTGGTGAGGTATACTTGAACATTTACTGCATAGAGGGCAGGGTCAGACAAAACTGTCAGAGGGGGGTGGCTGTATCCAAATGTAGTCTCGGAGGTCAAAGGCTTATGTCTAAAGGAGTATACATGTACAATCAATCCTTTATGTCACTTGGCTCATATTTGAAAGTTTAGCATGTTATTAATCACTTACTGAGAATATGTGACTGCAAGCACAAGGAATCTCCCAGCCTCAAGGAGTAACCTTGAGAGGCATCCTTACTCAAGGGGAGAGCCTGGTGCACAGCACCCTATCATGTAGGATTGCTCAATGGACCTGGGGCTCTCCACTCATTATGGAGTGAGGTAATTGACTCATAGCCATGTTTGTGTACTAAGTACAGAAACTTGGCTTGAGTTAGACCTTAACCAGGACTATGGCTGGGGGTGGTGGTGAGCACATTGCTCAGATTAGCCCTTGGCTATTGTGTTGTTACCTGTCTTTGCTGAATCCACTTTGAATCTGATGTGACCATCGCAACCAAACAGCATCAGTTACCAACACTGGTGGTTATCAGTTGAACAGTATTATGGGAAATAAAGGTCAGGTTTGAAGGCAAGAGCACACCAGTACAGTGTCTTCTGTGTTTGCTTTAAACATTTAATCCATTTTTTTGTTGGCTCTGCCAGGACCTTGAACAGCCTGTTGTGTCTGAAGTATTTTAATTCCACAGCTTTTTCTCTTCATGGGCTTCACCAGCTGTCTTTTGGTCCTAATTTGGAGTGGAAGCGTTCACTTGAAACTCTTGCTGGAGGCAGTTTTTCATCTGCCTGAGTTTACCAAGTGTTGATTTTCAGAACTCTGCACCACTGATTCCACTTGCTGCCTGGTACTAGGTGTACTATTAGCTCTGGTGATTGTTTGGCAGAACCTCATCATATGGAGCTACCTTGGCTTGCACTTCCCTTGAATTTACATGCTCTACATCTGAAGTAAATCTATCACTTTGCTTTGTGTGGGATGTCACTCCTCATTTCTCTCCCCCCTCCCCCCCCAAAAAAAAAAGTTATACTGCATTGGTGTTGTGACTTAGCTTTTCAGGCTTGAATTCACTGATCATCACGTTGACTTCTTACACTGTGGGAAATGATGTGCTCAATATCTGATGAGCATATCTACCATTAACAAAACAAAACAAAAAAAAAAAAGAAAAACCAAAGAACTGTAACAAAAAACACAGACCATATACCCCAAACAAAACCCTTCTCAACCTAGTAGCTACAGTGTGGAAAAAGCTAACAATCTTTCTTCCATTTTTGTATGAACAGTCCATTTCCGCTCTGAACACACTGAAAATATTTTCTTTGCATTGCTTTTAACCTGTTCACTTGAATTTCATTGAAAGGTAGGTGGTGCGGTAAAGATGGCTTTTAGCATGAATTGTTGAATCTGTAACTATTTTTAAGATGCTACCTTTTTGGTAAATTTTTAAAGATACAAAAGTTCCCTTACTGTTGAGTTCCATCAGGAATTGCAAAGTTTTATTGTGCAGAAAATTGGGTGTTGCAACAACAGAATTCTTCTGAACATGAAAATACTATAACATACTGTATCTTGTGCGGTCTTTTTCCTACAGAGATGGTTTACCAGTTTTGAATTGAAAAAATAATTAAATAGTGCATCATGGGAACAGGGGGGTAGTTATAACTTGTTGACATGATGATACAATTTGATATTTGTGCTCTGTTTTGCAAATCATGATTTTGCTAATTTTTGGGGGTTGTGTGGTTGTTTATTGGGGTTTTTTGTGGGGGTTTTTTGTTAGGTTTTTTTTTTTTTTAGGTGGTACTAGCAAAAGGCCTACTTGAGTGAACTTTGTAATTTCAATTTTTCTAGGGTTTTGTTGGGTTTTGGTTGCTTTTTTTCCCCAGACCTCCCCTGGTTAGGAATTGTTTCTTTAAATTTAAACCTTGAAAACTGTTTTAAAACCTTTGTGGTGCTGCTTGTTTTTTTTGCATAAATACCTTTGATGTATGTTTACAAAATTTAATTTGTTCTTGAACAAAACATGAAAACAAAGCAGGACTTGCTGGGGCTGACAAGATTTGTCTATTACATGACTTCCTTGAGTCATTTTAAGTTCACAGGCATTTTTGTCATCGTAGCAAAATGGGTCAAAGAAGGTAGAAGATAATACTCTCTGGAATAAGCAGATGTATGAGATGAGAAGCAGAAGTTGGAATTTGAGAGTGCTGCACATTGGAGGTGGGGAAGGCGTGTTTTTTAAAGGTTTTCTCCTACCCCTTTCTGGAAATCTTTTCCAACAACTTAGAATCTCACCCCAAGATCAGCAGGTGCCCTTCACCAGTACAATGGCATCCCGTCAGTACAGTCTTTTCTGTTCATTTCCCTTGGCAGTGACCCTGCTTTCCTTCTTTTAGCCAGCCAGCTGCTAGATATAGGAAAAATTGATGCAGAGGCTGTGGGCTCTAACCACAGACCTGGGATGCCGGTGGAGGTGAGTGGCATTCTTATGAATGGAATTATAATTTATAGAATTTTAGTTGTTAAAGATCAAGAAGATTTGTTTATAATGTAACTTCTCAATAAGACACAACTATTGCCACTGAATGAAGTATACCACTATTGTTTTTAAGCTTGTTCTTGCTCAGAAAGACAACAATTAAACCGAAGAGAAATAAGTTTCCTTTTTGACTCCCCAGCTGTTTTTTTTTTTTTTTTTTACCTTGAAGTTTCTTTCCTCCGTTTTCTTCCATTCTTGTTGAGGCAGATGTAATGACGTTTTGTGGAACAGGGAGGGTGTACAAAGACAGCCTCCTTTAAACTGAGGCTTGGTTGATTATGGGGGGTAAGGCACAACTACTGAATTCTGGAATAGCTGGCAATTACTAGTGGGTAAGTCTCCTTGTCCTGTGTTATTCAAGGAACAAACAGGCTGACAGTCATCTCTGTGTAGCTCTTCAATGTATAAACTTGATGTCAAAAGTTACACCAGTGTTCAAGTCTCAAAGTGCCCCTGACTGTTACTGTTTTGTGATTGGAATTCTGTCAAAACTAACCAAAACAAAATTTGGTATTTGTCAGAACCAATGGAGTACAAGGCTTCAAAATTAGTTCATCTCTCATTCCTCACAGTGTAATCAAATAATAATAAAAAAGGTCTTTTCTCTGGGTATGGAAGCAAAATCTATCAGGTGATATTAGGTGGAGACAGGAGAGAGTATTTTGCTGAAAAAATTATGTATTTTGTATAAATGTAGTTTCAGTATACACTCCCAAAGTATATTTCCAGATTCGTTATTTTGATTATCTTTTCAACTTGCAATAACATCAATCCTGAAATGGCCTATCATATTTTAGTTAATTTAAGACTGTTGTCAAGTTACACATTAAAGCAGCAACATCAGAATAACACTCTTTCATAAAACAAATATATGCGGCTGTGGGAATCCTATTCCACATTCTCCTTTTAATAGGACAATCTCTCTATGGTGGCAGAGTAACTGTGAGCACATCTGAATTGATGCTGTGAATTTAGCTCTTGTTGTTATAGGTATCCTATTCTGAAAAATGTTAAAGATGGGAAAAGAAAAACAATGCCACTCAGTAATTTGAGTTTTGGTTTATCTGCATGGCTTTGGAATCCGTGCTCTTTACACAGTGTTTTCTGTTGCTCAGTGCTTTAGGATATTCACAATAGAAAACAGAATGTTGGTCATGTGCATTCCTTTAGTCAGTGCACTACAGACAGCTAAAGTACAAAATTACTTAGGCAAGAGACGCAATATTACTATGTGGAGAGTAAGTCTTTATTCTTTATAGACTATTAAGCAAAATCTTTATT